AGGTGATCCTCCCCCTCTACGCGACGCTGGTCAGGCCACAGCTGGAGTATTGTATTTTTTTTTTTTTTTTTTATCATTTTGATGGCTAAAATCCATTTTTATTTCTAAGACTTTCTTTTGGACTTTATTGATTTTTGTTTGTATTGTATTTTTGTTCTTTTTTAAATTGATGTTTATTGATTTAAATTTTCAGGGTTCAGGCAGGCACCAGCAGAGGGGCAGCCTGGCTGAAGGCCACAGCCTCCCACCCCTCCAGGCAGCACACGGGCAGCAGCTGGGCCCCAGGGGCACCCCTGTATGCCTTGTCCTGATCATGCTGCCTCTCCCCATGTTCTTAGAGCTCCTGCCCAACCTGGTCCCTGCATGCTCGAACTAGGGTGTATGGGGGTGCCCCCAGGGCTCAGCTGCTGCCCCAGCACTGCCTTGGGGGCAGGGGGGACGGGATGGGATGGGACAGGAGGCCATGGCCACCAAGTAGCAGGGCCCTCTGCTGATGCCATAAGGGGCTGCAGGGAGTGGGGAGCTGCTTCCTGCCCCAGGCTGGGTGACCGCTGCCTCTCCATAGTCCTAGAGCTCCTTCCTGGCCTGGCCAAACTCCTAGCAAGCCCTGATTACACAGGTGCCCCCTGCCTTGGATTTCCTTGCCCCGTCCCAGATTTGGGGGTTTTTTTATGTTCCCTTTCCATTAATTTTGATGATTACTGGTGGAAATATTTTTCTGTACATTTGGGAGTGACAGGTGAAATTGATGTTTATTGCTAAAAATCAAATCCTGCCAAACCTATATGTATCAAAGGGCATGTATATGGACCTAAGGTTTAAGGTTTTACTACCTCTCTTGTTAAGGAAAATGAGGAGTCTACACTTAATGCATGACAGCTTTGAACTGTATGTGCCATCACAGAAGGGCCATTCTTTAAATGAACAGACCACATGCACATGGGACCACTGTTCAGTTTCCCATTCTATAAAACCCTCTGTGCTTTTGTGTTGTTTGTTTTAGCAGACAGAAACTGCCTTCTGCTGTTAGAAATAACCTTAATGAGTAAATGTAAATAGTGCTGGCAGATCTTCTTGATGTGATTGATCTCAGTGGTAACAGCAGCCTTTTTGAAGATGCCTGCAAAGATTTTTTTTTAAAGATTTTTCCCTGAGAAATATACTGTCCTGACTGTGACCTTTATGTTACAGCCCTGAGGGGAGCTACACAGATGATGCAAACCAGGAAGTTCGAGGCCCACAGCAGCAGCATGCCCACCCTAATGAATTTGATGATGAATTTGAAGATGATGATCCCTTACCAGCTATCGGACACTGCAAAGCAATCTATCCCTTTGATGGTAAGGTTAATAACATGTAATATGATACTTTCAGTTAACCGCCCCCCTCTCCCCCCTCCCCCCCCCCGACCTCATATGGATTGTTTCTTAGGAGAGTCTTCTGTTTTCTCCATAAATAACCTAACAACATTAAGCAGCTGGTTTTAAGGTCAGGAGAAATATACCTTTGTGATGTTTTAAGAAAAATATTAAAGCAGCTATTGGCATATATTCAACTGTACAACAGGGGACCAGATTTTTGTCTGTAAACCCATGGTAGTTCATATATTCATTTCCATGGATTTTGGTACTTCCTGTTTATATACCTGAAAATTATATATTGAGAAAAAACTTGCTTTAAATTCTTCCTGAGCTTTGGGACTTTTGTCTCTCTTTTTCTCAGGTCACAATGAAGGCACCCTGGCAATGAAAGAAGGGGAAGTTTTATATGTTATTGAAGAAGATAAAGGAGATGGATGGACAAGAGCTCGAAGACAGAACGGAGAGGAAGGCTATGTGCCAACATCATACATAGATGTAACTCTAGAGAAAAGTAGCAAAGGTGCAGTAACCTATATCTAAACACTACACTTGCAGTTTACAGCTGTACATCCCAGAGGGAAAACACTAAATCACAGTTTCATGGAAGTATTAGGCTTTCCAAAGGCATAAGTGGTCTGTTCTCTTTATGAGTTCAGCTTAATTTTTTTTCAGAGTTAGCCAGTAGTAAAACTTGGGGAAAAGGGGGCAGGAAGGGGGAGCTTTTTCATTAAATAGGTCTGCAAATTTGACCAGTGCCATTTGCCTTTTATTTATCTGCTTTTAGCCGTCATCTTTTATAAATCATTGAATCTGACATATTGATTAGGTCACCATATTTTTAATGATTCTTTTCTTCAGTCTGATCTTAATTTTCATTTACTTCAGCAAGTAATTTAAAATTCTGTCTGTCTGACAATATACCAGACAATAACCCACTCCCTAAGGTGCAGTTTCTTTAAAGCCTCTTTAGACTCTCAGCATTCCTTCATCAGCAGCTTTAACTGTGCTACATGGATAGCCGAAAACTCTTAAAAGACAAACTAAAGCATTCTAACAACTGAGTTCAGTTACTGAAAACGTTCATATTTTTTCCTTGCTTTGTAAATATTTTGACAGCTTTCATTTCATAAGGAAATCAAGATTTATGATTCTCAGAGAGAAACTTGCACTCAGGAAGATTCTGTGTATTTTCTCTGTTCTCTTTAATTACCCATGTATGTATGTTGTCTGGCTTCTTTTTTTTCCAATGGTACTGGACCAAAATTATTGTGCATTTAATAACACTGCTTAGGACTGGAAATACTTCTGAAGTTACAACAGTGTTAAAATGCCACAAAACATGTTTTTTCCCATTGCATTCTCTGGCCTCTTCTTTGGCAAGTACCTGCTTTTGAGTTGTGACAAATGTTCTAGACTCCCAGTACAAGGGGCTTGGTATCCATAGCTAGGCTTCAGACTTCATTACCTATGGATTAAATATTCAAAGTTTAGTTGTACATCCATTTCCTTACTTAATGTTAAATGAACCTGGACTGGAAGTTAACTTGCACTATTTGAGTACTAGAAAACTGGCTATGCTGGAAATTCTGTTGGGGAAAAAAACCAGGAAAGCTGTTGCTTGCTATCAAATGTGGTTAATTCTTCAGGAATTAAATGCAAGGTCAAATCTATAGCCATTTGGAAAGGCCAATAAGAAATGAGCACCTCTCTGTCTTCCGAAGACCTTCAGTAACTCTGTTCTTTTCTTTTTCCTCTTGGACTGCAGGTTCCTGAAGCGGGTTTCTGAGAAAATGGGCGAGATGTTGAAGGAGGTTACATGCAGCTGCTTTTGGGGAGGGCATTAGGCTGGGAGGCACCATGAGAAGGGGAAAGCTAGTTGCATGAGTGCATGCAGACATACATTTATTCACTAACATTCTCAGCATTGCCATATGTAGCTAAGGACCTGTTACAAATTCTTAAATTTCTGCAGCAAAATAGGACTCCATTGCAACAGAATAAACTAAGGCAACCAGATCATGGTCCTAAGTACTGAAAGTTGCACAAACTGTTCACCAGTTTGTTACAGTTTATTGTCTCAGCTGTCTTCTTTTCCAGCCCCATTATAATTGGTAGTCATTCAAGACCCTGTCATTTGTCAGTGTCTGCATATGCCACCTCCGTGCTCGCCCTAACCTCCTCCTGCATGTCTAGAGTTCTCAGGCATGTCAGTCTAACCTTTTTCCTCCATTGCTTATCATCTTCTTTTTCATGTGTAGCAAAACCACTTTGTTTAAATATCTCCTGTACTAAAGTTTTCATCCTAGTGTCCATGTGTGCTGCTATAACTTTCCTACTGCAACTATCATTACATTCCAGTTTTTCAGCATTATAACTGATGTGAACCTTAATGTATTTATGTTGTTGATTTGGGGAAAAGAACACATCTCAGCTCTAGCTGACAGTGCAGTCAAAGGAGCTCCTAGAACTGTGGTCCATCTTCAGCACTTCGGTAACCTATAGTGAGCACTGAAAACCTGGCATGAACAACACAGAGATTCACCACCAGAAGACAAGTGACTGTTTTTAGAAGTCAACTGCTTGCCATTCAGACGCTGCCTTAAACTAGAGTGCCTAAATCTGTTGATTGCCAACACTACCATTACAGTATCCCACAAAGGGCTTTGGGTCTCAGCTCAGTATGACCTCCTGTAACTCCTTCCATGGTGCTGCAGCTGCTGAGGTAGCCACAGCAGGTGGTTTCTAGAGCTCTACCTTATGTGATACATGGTGCATCATACATTTTATGCATTGAAACTGAAGACATGGATCTGTTCATTTTACTTTAATGAATGTTTTTAAGATAATTTTTATGGAAATTTCTTCTTGATTGTCTCTTAATTTGGGGTTATGACACTCCAGTTTAATCACTGCAGTGCTAGATCTCTTCCCAGGTGATGCTTCATTGTATGGACCAGTTGAAATTTGAGTGATACTTTGTAATGATCTTTGTGCACTTTTACTTGTAAACAATTGAAATTTGGATGTTTATATGTGTAAATATAGTTGTCTGCAGAGCCCCTACTGCTCATGTTGTCTTGTCTCCCATTTGTGATTCTATTAATAGAATGTATCATATCTGATTTTAATAGGTAACATTAGGCTAGGGGAGGTAGTGGGAGGGATCTCTGTATCCGTTGAAGTTTCATCAACCCAGGCACTTGCTGTTTAGGGAAAGAATAGTGCAACATCCTGTTTTTCCATGGGGTTTGAAGCAATATTTGGATGCAGCAGTGCTGGATTCTTTTAAAAAAAATATGTCAGTGTTATTAGAAATCGTACTACCAGTAAAACTGAATCTGAGTGACTTGTGTGGCAGTTAATTCCTTTGTTACGTATACCACTATTACACAGCTGACCTAGCGTATTACATTTGGGGGCTATTAAATGCTAAAGTTTAGATTTTTGGATATTGTATACAGGGTTATTTATATAATGTGACATTACTCAATACTGACAAACTACATAGTGTAGTTTTTTTTTAAACCTAGTGCTTTTTTATTTTAAAGTTAGAGAAGGAAATGTGATCTGTGTTTTTTCTGCAAAGAGGTTTGCCTGGCTAACAGCCTTGCAGGTCATTGTTAGCACTTCCTGGTAAAGGACTAACTGTTCTTTTCATGCTACTGTTTGTTTTTCTAAAACCAGGATTTGCTTCCTGTGAAAGCAAGTTGCTTTCATAAGGGATAATGCAACCTGTATGAGAGTTATTAAATATAGAATAAACCATTTGTACTTGCACAGCTAGTTATAAATCACTATTCTGAACGTGAATTGTCTAAGGAATCTTACATTTTTCCAGTAATTTTTAATCCTTTTGTGCACATGTTGATTTCTTAAATGTTAAATGCTTTGTTTAAAAATAGTGTTCTCTGTTGAGAATATTTTCATGGAATAAAAAAAGAACCTTTTCATGGTTAAGATGGCTTGTCTCTTGTCTTTTGTCAACTTCAGAGGGATGTTTTTGTACCTTCTTTTTAATGCTGCAGTTCTCTAACTGACAAAAAGTAATATTAACAAATCAGGCCAGATTCTGCTACTTTTACTCTTGGATGGTGACTTGCTTCTCAAAGTTGAAATGATTGCAGTGGACCTAAATGTGGATTAGGGTGCCACATTCTGTAACTGCTACTGGAATATTGCATATTACAAGAAAACTTGCAGGGTGTACGAGGAGTTACACAGTACCAAGCTGGTGTTATGGGCCCATCTTAAAGAATTCAGTCCCTATTGGGAGTGACTTGAGTACAGATGTGAAACATGAATATCAATGTCCCAGGCTTTCCCATCTGAATAAATGACAGGTTTTGGATTTCCAGTCACATGAATGTGTGTGTGCAGTGATCTGTCTGTCGTAAGTAAACAATCCCTGCAGGGATTATCCTCCTTTGGTATTTGAAAGGATGCCCGGTCTCTAAGCCAATGATAGCATTTTAATTTTCTCCCCTCGGTGTGAGGACAGCTAGTGGGAAAAAGTGAACTAATGTACACTGGCAGATGTTAGAGAGGGCATAATCACTAACTAGTCCACTGCAATTTGAATCTTCTGTTGTGGCAGCAGAGAAAAAATATTTCCTTAAAATGATCGTGTTAACTCTCCATTATAATATGCAGTGATACTATGCATAATAGTTCACATAAAGATATACTTTAATTCACAACTGTATACGTACAGTTTCATATTTGTATAAGGAATATCATACAACTGATATTTTTTAAATGACATACCTACTATCATTTTCTATTTACACTAGACTGTTTCATGACTGAAAACATTAAGTAAAACAACATCAAATGTAATAACTACTGGACATTATAGACATTTTTATAAAGGTGATATCTGGTAAACTTCAGGACAACCTTGTAAAGGGCCATATGTTAAGTTTGACTGTTCAGGCATCATTAAAATAACATGGCTACATATTTAACAACAAATAAATAATTCATTTAGAAATCAGTAGTAATTTTAAACAACTCATAAATGTGCATTGTGCAATTTACAAGTCCTACGGATCCTGTGAATGCTAGAGGCTTGTGCAGTGTCAAATCAGCAAAAAAAACCTTTTTCTGGATTAACTGATGATCATTTGGAGGTTACCGTTTAAGATAATTATTTAAGAGTTTGTTAGATATTTAATAGTTCCACCTGCTTTACCGGAGGAGGTTCTAATTTTCGAGACAGTGCATTTAAAATCTGGTTGAATTTCTCGTATCTCTCCCTCTGATTTACTTGTGCGCCTTTGCTGCCCCACAGCAGTCTCATTTGAAATTCTGTCTTGAAGATCTCACTCATCTCTTCATCTGGTTGAAAGCCTAATGAGGAAAATAAGAGAGACAGAAGTGTGTCACTCAAACAGGCATGTGCTTGGCAGGAAGGGATTTTTAAGCTTGCATTCCTTCAAAGCAACATCTGTTTTAAAAAGCTGGGCTTGTTTTTACACTATTGGTTTCATGTTTAGAGTTATGAAAAAAGCTGGACAAATATTAAAATCCCTTACTGTGAGCCATGCTGCAGGAACACATACATGGCTCTGAGTTAATGAAAAGATAATTGACACTGGCTATTCTGATAACTGAGGAAAGTTTTGGCTCTTGGCCTCATGGCTAATGGTCTGGTCTTTAAAAATCTATGAAAACCTGTTAGATGAAGTCAGATGAGTGGCAGCTCCTGAAAAATGTCAGCATTCAAGGGGTGTTGCCTGCTTTAACTGTCTATAATTTCCCTGTATAATCTACCAGCCAGTATAATCAACCACCCACATGATGATGCTTGGTTTCAGTTACCCACCAGTGACTGATCATTACTCAAACTGCATGTGTGTGGACTTGGAGGGGGAAGAAGGTGCCCAGGTGGGGAGAGGGGCAATGCAGGCAAAATGTCCAAAGCTAGAATTGTGTCCAGGGGGAGGGGAGTGTTGAAGGACTCTCTTAATAGAAGCACTCTCTTTAATAGCTACAAAGCGCAGTATCGCTGCTGTCCCTCACCTAAGTGATGGCATACTTTGCAGGAACATATCCTCTTACCAGTAGGTTGAGGGCTTTACTCTCAGAGTCAGAGGGAGCCGTTCCACATACTGACCCACTGGCCTCCCTTGCAGCTCCCCTCTGCAGGTATTGAGCTTTCTTGGTCAATTTTGATTACATGAATGGCTGCAGATTATCGTTGCCCTATTGGGTGACTTCATCCTCAAGCAGGGTCATGGTTGCATAGATCCCCTTACCCAGCTCAGTCAGCTTTTTAACCTGTTGTCTGTATCCACCTAAATTCTACACCACTAAGTAAAGGAGAGGTAGTCAAAAAGAGTTTAAGTCAGGAGTGTCAAACTCACCTGATCCACTAGCCAAGGTGAGTGGTATGGGGCCAGTCCACAGGTTGGATCTGACTCAGAAGACCAGCCCCACATTCTGCATCTAGCGTGTGTTCTGGAGAGGCTGGAGTGAGCACCACTGGTGGCCCAGCCCTGCTCCAGCATTGTACTGCACATGGTGGCTGCTTTGGGACAAGCTGGAGCAGGCACCACATGCAGTGCACAGGCACAGGTAGTGCACATGCTACCTGTAGGTCACTGAGACCCATGGGCAGCACCATGGGTGGGATCCAGCCTATAGGCCAGGTCTTTGACACTCCTGCTTTACATCATTTTCTTTAGAGGTACTTAGTTGATCTAGCTATTAGCTATTAATGAGGCAGCAAGAATCCCTAATGGGGAGAGCATCGGTGGTGTACCTCAATTTTAGCAAGGCTTTTGACACGGTCTCCCACAGCATCCTCATAAGCAAGCTATGGAAACCTGACTGATTCATTGTGCCCAAAACTTTTCATCAATGGCTTGAACTGGGAAGAGGAACCAAGCAGCTTTCCCTAGGAGTGTGTCTTGTGTCTGCTACTGGTCTGTATCTTCATTAATGACTTGGAGGATGGAACAAAGTACACATTTAGTAAGTCTGAAGATGACACCAAGCTGGGTGGAGTAGCAGGACTAGGGGACAGGATTAGGATTCAAAATGACCTTGCTAAATTGGAAAAATGTCTGAAATAAATTGGATGAAATGGAGTGAGGACAAATGCACAGTGCTGTACCAGGAAAGAACAAGCAAGTGCATGCATACAAAGAGGGGAAGGTAGTTAGATTGCATTTGAACAAAAAAGGGAGCCAAGGGTCATACTAGATGCCCGCCTACAAGTTCTAGGAAGTTTCAACATGAAAATGTTCCTTTCTCCACTTTTTCTTTCCGTAGTGTAGGCTGAAGTCCCACAAATTGACTAAAGCATAAACATCCACCAGAACAATCCAACTGTGAATGGATGGGTAGAACAAAAGCACATTTCTGGCTAATTTACATTTTAATTGTTCCACTTCTGGCATATACTTGTGCCAGTTATGGCTGCTGTTCAGGTCTCAGTCAGCCAAGGGTCTTGGTAGACTGTGCAGCAGCTCTTTGTTACTTGAGCAAAACACATTTTCTGTCCACTCTGAGGAATGCTGAACTACTGAAATATGCAGGAAGACTTTTTTTTGGCCAAGATCCTTACCTTCCAATATCCTCTCTGCAGCCATTCTGTACATGTCAGCATGCTGTGCTATGCTACGGGCTGCAATTAAGTGCTTGAGCATTATTTCACAGCTTTGGTCAGTGTTTTCCCACAGGTCCAGTCCTTCAAAAGTGACAGTCTCTCGCTCCATCAAGGTAACTAAAGGCATCAGCAGTGGCACTGTGATGATATTTGGTGGAGAGCACACGGTCTCTGAAACAAATGGAAAAAAACCTCAGAACAATCATAAATCCTGCAGCTTTTCAGCTAATTATAGAGCAATATTTTTTCCTAAGAGATCCAAGCAATTTTGAGCATATTTTTGTCTTCTGTCATATGATGCAGTCTCTCAAAGCAGCATCCTTCCTGCCCAACTGACAAAACTACGCTTTACTAAGATAGTGCAAAACTATGCAGCACATCCATATGCTAAATTCTTAGGAACTGCCATGCAGCCCAAAAATTATTGGGCACCTACGTATCTTAGAGAACCTGTCACAGATCTGCAAGGGCAAAGCTTCCACTCACTCACTTCCACCTGCTTGAAGGGTTAATGCTCCCTCTCTTTTCCCTGGTTGTAGGGGATCTTAGCTCCTCTTCTGACTGCTTGCCATAAGAATGCAGGAGGGGGCATCTGAAGTGTGGAGGAGCAGTTACACCTGGCTTGGAGTTTTGGGAACCCTGAGCTTTCCTGCAAGGAGGAGCACCTAAGAGGATCAGAAGACTTAGCAAAGGCAGCAGACCCTGCTCCATCTCCCTTCTTGTATGGGAGGATTTGTCTCCTCTACTGGTTCCCCCTCTACTACACTGGGAGCAAGAAAAGAAGCAAAGTCTGCCATTCCCAGCTCTTTCATCCTGGCACAGTGGATCAGAGTGGGGGGAGAGGCTGGCAGTACAGGAGAGGTGTTGTTCATGTGTGCATGCATATCGTAGGTTGGCTTGCTGTAGCCCTGCCTGCAGAAGTCATAACATAGAATCACAGAGAAGTAGGGCTGGAAGGGACATCCAGAGGTCATACAGTCCAGCCCGCTGCCTGAATTAACTCCTCTTATTTTTCCTCTGTGCCACATTCCACTCACACAGAATGATGCAGCATCACTTAAGTACATGACGAACAGCTGAGCTACCCTTCTGCACTCATTTCTCACTGGCTTTCCTATAAGTTTTTTTGTACTTAGGATCATAGGAAAGCAGGACTGTAATGCATCTCATGAGTTCATCTAGTCCAGCCCCCTGCTCAAAGCAGGATCATCCCCGACTAAACCAGCCCAGCTGAGGGTCTGTCTAATATATTCTTGAAAACTTCTAGGGACGGAGATTCCACAACTTCTCCAGGTAGCCTGTTCCCATGTTTGACCAGCCTCATAGTTAGAAAGTTCCTCCTACTCTCCAACTTGAATTTCATGCTGAAGTTTGAGTCCATTGCTCCTAGCCCTGTCCCATGTAACTACAGAGAAAAGCCTATCTCCATCCTCTCTGTAACTGCTCTTCAGGTATTTGAAGACTTATCAAATCCCACCTCAGTCTTTTCTTATCCAAACTACATTGCCCTAATTCTTTCAGCTGTTCCTCACCAGCCATGCTCCCTAGGCCCCTAATCATTTTTGTCATTCTCTGCTGGACTCTTCAATCTGTCCACATCCTTCTTGAAGTGTGGGGCCCAAAACTGGATGCAGTACTGCACGTGAGGCCTCAACAGTGCTGAATAGAGCAAAAAGAATCACTCCCCTTGATTTGCAAGAGACACTCCTGTTGCAAGAGAGATGTTTTGTGTAATGAGAGTTGGGGGCTTTCAGGGCAAAGCCATAAGCAAGCCAAAGGGGCAAGTTGATAATCAAATGATTGCACCACATTCTACGTCCATCACTATATCAAGGTAGAGAGGGAGCAAGTCAAAAGTTCAGAAAAAATGTTATAAAAAAGCTGTCATCTTTCTTCATCTGATTTAATTGGATTTTTTTCTGAACGTAACTGTGGCAGGCCAGTGTCATGTGTGCCTGGCTGCAGTCCAGGTACTGCACTCACCTTTTCCTTCATGCAAGGCTTTGCTGAATGGTTTCAGCTGCTTTTCATAAGTAATGGCCATGTGGGTGTAGTGGTGCCGCAGTGTCGTCCAGGTTTGTTCCAACCTGGAGATCTGCTCAGACGAAAAAAGGAAAGGTCAAATTCTGATTTCACAACAGTTTATATTTAAAGCAGCTCTCTGGCCACTGGCAGGCAACAGAGATTTCACTGTAAAGTATCACAATAGGAAATCCTGTGTTGTTGGAGCCTGTGAAAAATTTATTTTTCAGATCCTGGCAGTCATTAATTCCTTGATGCCATGGAATAAGATGTCCTGGTATTTAAGCAAGATGACTGTGTGTTCTTTTGGCAGAAGCAAAACATACTGTTCTGTTCCCTTTATGGTCTTCTAGGACAATGTTCAAATCACCATTGGACCAAACACAGGTGAAGGATTTCTCCTACTCAGAAAACAAAAGCAGCATTCTTGGCACCACACCGAGAAAACCATCCACTCTCCTTAGCTGGTAGTACACTTTAAACTGAGCATTTTGGCAAGAGGGCAAAAAGATGGTTCCCTCATGAGTGATTTAAACTGGATCCCCAGATGAGTTTGAAAAGCAGAGGGGGTGGGGGGAATGCATTTTTTATTGTTCTTGAAGAACTGGATTGACAAGTAAGTAATTACTGTACAATGCCCATTTACACACAAAGGAATGCAACTTCCTGTTAGGGAGACCACTTGTAAGTTTTTTCTCGCTCCAAAGCTCTTATTCAAGGATCATATACAAAAACTCTCCCCCAGTTGGCCCACATGATTGTATAACTTTGTTCAGATAAATATTCTTAGCTGTATTCAAAATACTTCAATTTCTTTAGGACTTTACAGACTGTTCCCTGCTAGAGCTAGTTGCTCAACAGTCCAGTCCCTTGTTATCAAAGTGATCATTTCAAACAACCATCAAGACACTGAAGGATCGCAGAGGAAGATCTATTCAGAAGAGGCAGACCATCTGTAACTGCAAAAACAACTGTTTATCTCATTATTCACTTGTCTTTTAAATAGTATCAAACTGTTTCTTCTGCACCATCACACAGGCACTGCTTTAGAATGGGGCCTTGTTCTAGAAAGCAAGTTTTCAGCTTGTTCTAGCATCAGAACATATTAGTGTTTTGTTGTGATTCAAAGTGCTGTTGAGCTCATAATGACTTGAGTCTTGGCTCTTCTTTCTGTCTGGCTGCGTGGGAATGTGCTTGTTAGTGCCTACCCGTGTTGTCTCAAAGCACTTGTGTGAGGACCTGAAATAGCTGAGCTAAGCAGGAATCACCGAACAGCAAAGGAACGTTTTCTTTACCTGTGGCATTTCCAGCGCTTTCATAATAGCAGAGAATGCATACAAATCCCCCAGAACATCCTTCAGCTCCACGGCTACCTGGATGATTCTGTTCAGCGTTGCAGCTCTCTCTTCTAAGTTTCCTGTGCAGCCCAAAATATCCACAGCTATTCCTATGGCCATGGTGTTATGCCTGGAGGAAAGCAAGCCAGTCACAGATACAGTGACTTATTGATGACTGATAATAATGCTAGGTTAACAATCAAACAGTAGCAGAGAAAATCAAATCAAAGGCAAAATTAAAAGACCTTGCTGGCCCAAAGGAAGTCTGTGCGACTATTACAGACAAAGCTGCTCTTCCATGGCTCTCAGGGACAGCTGCCTTCTTATATCATATTAACAGGCTGCACTTTTGCGGCTACAAGATAACGAGTCTACTCACACTGCAAAGCCTAAACTTTTGCAGTGCTGCATTTTGGGTCCCCTGAGCGTCTCACTGGATAGTAGGCGTGGGGTTTGCTGCACCAGTAGGGCCAACTGTAAAAGGATGTTCTTCCCTCTGCAGTTAGGGAAGCAGTCTCTTGGCAAGTACCTAACGTAGCTACCTCTCTACTGCAAAAACAAAACCATCAGTGATCTCAGCATGATCTAGGAAACCCTCGCTTGCCCATTAAAGAGGATGGCAAACAAAGGTGTCATCCCAGCCAAATATTACGAACCTTTTCACTCTCTGCAATCTGAGTGTTTGCAACACAATTTAGGTCTCTCTCATCCCAGCATGTGGTGATTTTGCTGCACACAAAATGTTCCATTCAATAGGTGGAGAGTAACCCAGGAGCCGTACAAGTTGTGCTAAATGCTTTAAGTTACAATCTCAGTGGAGCCCAAACACCTCTTCAGAGGCCAGCAGGACCTGGCTCTAGAGAGAAATTTGTGTTGTGATCAGACTGCAGAGCTTCTCTTGAGTCTCTCTCTCTCCATATCTAAGTCACTTGTTTATTTCTGATAGTGGACCTCAGATTTTGGCTTGTGGCACATTTGGGGAATGAAACCAAGTCTGACTTTGCAGAAACCTTCTGTATCTGCCTGTGAATGCAGGACTGTGTTCTCTGTTTTCCAGGGCTTCTTACTTCAGCCTCAGTAGTCTTGCTAGCTTACCCTCTGTATTACAAAGTGATCCGGTGCTTTTTCTGTATGTTTATAGTGCAAAGTTCCCTTTGTGGCAGGTCTGTAGCTACGTTTTGTCCTGTCTCCATGTCACTGCCCTTTTTTGTTATGAAAGACAGGATGCCACATGGATGAACTGCTTCAGTCTCATTCCACCTCCTCTCCCCCCCGCAGCCTTGGTGAACTCCTAAAATCATCCCTTTTGGTCCAAAATTCAGCAAACTGCTGAAGTCTGTGCAGACACAAGGCTAGGAATCAAGGGTGGAAGCAGTAGGAAGATGTTGTGAATGAAGTTCCTTTGAGGCCTCTTGCCAAGTTCTTGAAAGGCCTCTTGGATAACTCTCCCCTCTAACAACTCTTCACCCATCTGTGTCCAAAGAGGATCAGAACCCCTGCAGTCCCTCATGAGAGTTGAGGGTGTTGAGCATTTCCGAAGATCAGCCCTCAAACACCCAGCTTTCCCTCTCACCATGGTGTTGCTCAGTGTGGCCCGAGAGCTCCTTTACCCACACAGCTGTGCCAGATCTCAGCAGTAGTGTAACCGAGGAGGGCCAGAGAGGCACCAGCCCTGAGCACTGGCATATAGGAGGCACCAGTCTGCCAGGACTCTTTCCTGCAGCAGGTGCAGAGCCAAGTAGGTGCAGCCCTATGCCCAGCTGTGCATCTGGAGGGGGATGAAATGAGGCCCCAGCTGGGAGGCTTTGCCAGGAGAGGTGCAGGAGTCCTGTCCCCCAGGGCGGGAGTAAACAGGGCACCGGGAGCAGTCTCAGGAAGCCCATGCCACTGCCTGCACCTCAGCAGCAGCAGCTCAATCTCATGTTGCTAAGAGATGAGCAACAGCAATAGCAGCTGCTGCTCACATGAGCAGGACCCAGGTAGTAACATTCCCGCGCTCCCCCCAACCTCCCCATACACACTCTCCAGTAGTCAGCACATATCCCCCCTGGCCCCACGCACTGAAAGAGTTTGTTAGGCCTCTGCAACTCAGTGTCCCAATAAGTTATTACTCAATGGATCTCAATTCAGTGTACATGAATTTTGGAAAGTTTTGAGGGGCTGTTCTACCCGGAGATATAAAAAAGGCACAGCAACACTCGGGAAAGAGTGATGTTCCATCTAACTGTGGTAGAAGCAAAGTGCAAAGTAATGGGAACGCTTACCTTTCAATTAGGTCCAGACGCAGCTGGTGTCCATACGGCAATGTAATGAGTTCCAGACCTGAACTCACACCCATGATCCTTCTCATCTCTTCCGAGACCTCCAGTATCCTAGCAACCTGCCAAGCATATAAATTTGCACATGTGGATTTGGGAAGCTGACTTACGAGAGAGCCATTTACACAGTTACCACCACTTCTGTCTCACCAGACTACTAACACAGTCATTTAAAATAGCTTAATCAAGCAGAGATGAGCTAAAAGCAGCACACACAAGGACCTAGAACCTCAAAACTTTTTGCCAGTGCAAATCAATCATACAGAAATAAATAAGGGGGCTGGCCAAGATGCAAGGACTAAATGCTTCATTCCTTTACGTACAAGACACATAAGAATGTTGTCGGGCATGTGGTAGGCAGGGGTCACCACAGAGTACACACATTACGTCTAAAAGAGCATGCACACAACAAGAACAGATTAGGCAAAGACCTGATCCTTCTTCAACACTGATGAACTTGGGCCTTAGTCGAGACATGCAGGAGATGCTGATTCCAACTCTCTGAGGCAGGAACTGAAAGCAGGTGTCTCACACTTTGGGAATGTGTGCTCAGCACTGGGCCACTCAGTCTATTGGGACTATTGAGGGGGCACTGTCACCACTTTCTCCTCCAGCTATGTTTGGTGAGAAAGGTTTTGCCAGCTCCAACTCTAGGGGAGGGCTCAAGGCTACAAATCTCTAGCAGACAGAAGCTCCTCCCATATTATGATGTCCAAATCCCAGGAAAGTGTGGAGTTTAGGGACAGCCATTTATCATAACTAGGAGTGTAGATGTGCTGGTCCCTCAGTACAGTGATTTCATGGATTTCATCTGTAGGTGCTTAACTCCACATGCTGTGTAGGGAGCCTGGGTGCATAAACATGGGGCTGTGAATTCCATTAGGGATGTAGGGGCCTGAAAGTCCAATGCTGCAAAGTACTGCAGGGCTTATGCCCTTTTATGAATTTAGCCCTAGACTGCTGCAGTGGTGTAACAAGCAGGCTTTATACCCTGGATAAACCCTATGGGAGACCAGGGGTGGGGATGCAGAAATCCTACCCAAAACAGCCCCCAGCTGTTGTTGCTGCTGTGCTCTGCCTGCACTGGTTCTTGCTCTTGAAGCAGGAGCAGCCCAGTGTCCATGCATCCCACAGCAATGCTGTGGGGCTGCTCTTGCTGCTGGGGCACAGATTGCACAGGGCTGGGGGATAATTCTGGTGCCCCTCCTAAGTCATCACCAATGCCCTTCTCACCCACCCCTAGTTTCACTACTGGTTTGTTGTTGGCACTGATGTTTCAAGTGGCACTTTAATTAATCTGATGTTCATACTGCCTGAATGAGAAACTCCTGGGAGCTTTGAAGTGTTAGCCATGAGCAAGAAGCATCTCTTGCCACTGTTATGATTCATTTCATGTTCCATGATGTATGTATGCAGCATTTATTCTGATGGGCTAACTACAGCGACTAAAATGTACTATTCACTGAGAAATGGTTAAGGGAATTCAACACCCACTTTGACAGGCAGATTATAGCCACTTTGGTTAGTACTGAGGTAGTCTTCAGTTCCAAATGCTAAAAATCAATCTGCAGTAGTGGGAGAAGACAGCTTTGGAGTGTGTAATGTTTTCCTGAGATTCTGATAGTAATACAGGTCCAATAAGGGCTGTTGGTGTTAGACCCGCTGTGAAGCAGCCAAATGTTTCTTCTGTACAGGGCTCCACTATTGAAACTCCTCAGTGGAAGTTTCCCAGGCCATTCTGCCAGTGTGAGAGGGAGGTGGGCCCGAGTGGGGAGAAGGGCTTAGGGGAGATCAGCCAGTACTACCACTGCAGAAGAAAACCCTGCCAACAGGTGCTCAGCCTGGTTCACCAAGTCCACTGGGACTAAGCAATGGTAGTGAGCACAGCAGCAGTACCAGCAGCAGCCTGCGGTTGGGGGGCAGCCACACTCAGTCTCTCTCCTTTTGGTGTAATATACAGGTTAATCTGTCATTACTCAGTAGCCTCTACATCACTGCCACTCTACCTTATCATTTTTATGGCCCACTGTGCTAATACTCACCATTTGTCAACCTGGCTCCCTACATGAGTCCCAGAGAAAGGGCACTGGAAACATGTTTTTATTTAAAGCCACAGGCTAAGTAAGTCCTTGTCATGTCCCTGGGCAACAAAATATTTCCTTAGAGCTGACCTCTGCTCTCCTAAACCTCATGCTCTGTGACTAGCAGATGAGACAAATATTGTGGATCTTTAGCAGGCAAGTTTGATTGCCGTCACTGAAGAGAAGAGTTTATTTTGAATTATGATGACAAAATGCTAGTCACCCATTACTTTCTCAGGAGGAGCCATCACTGCTCTGTGGATGCTGCTCAGGTGGTGTGTGCCTCTTTAATGGTATTGGAAACCAGACCTTATCTCACTAATAAAGTCCCTAAATGACCTAGATCAACTGATCTGCTGAGTTTATCCACAGAATCACAATGTGCATGTGCAAATGTGCTGTTATGAAATCACTATGATGCATGATCCCTCCTTTGACTTTCAATAGCTTTTTAAAATTAATTTCCCTCCTGATTATGCTTTCAGAGCAAAACATTCCTAATAGTGAGGAGTGGGGCTGGGAAGGCTTTTCATTCCTTCCACAACAGAGTGAGAGGCTGAATCACTGAATATACATTCTGTTCCAATGACTATGTAAGAGCTGCAGGATGAGCATTTAAATGAGAGTAATTGAGCTGATGGCAGAAGAAAAAAACACCATTTGAAACCATGTGCAGAGTGCCATTTGAATAGCAGATGATGGAATGAGAACATGAATTGTAATGGGCCAGATCCATAATAAAGGAGCACTAGATGGCCACGTTCTCTCTGTCTCCCTCTCTTCACCCAGTGCTGTTTCATAACACGGACAGGACCCACATCTATTCTTATCAAGCAGCTAAGCATCCAGTTAAGTTTTCATGTCCCTTTTGTTTTGAACTATTACTAGAAAAAGAGCTGCTTTGTTCTTGGCTTACTTTCTTCTCTTCCTTTTCCACACTGCTGAGTCTGAAATAGCTGCTCCCAATGATTTGCCAGTAGAATGAAGCCAGCACTATAAAAATACTCCATGCTTCTGATGCTAATTTAGCAGTACACTAGAGGGTACAAAAGGCATGTTGGGAGGGAGCTGGCTCAGAAGCCTTGGCAGCTGCTTTCCAATACCTCTCTGTTAAGGTCCAAACAGAGGATGAAGATCCAAACAAGGATTCAAAGAACAAGTCACCCTACACTCTGCTCTGCTCTATGCCATGTGCACCATTATGGGATCTGCGTGCCTTCCAGGAAATGGCCAAACAACAATTGTTCCTGGAAGCAACAGTCATGACTGGTTCTCTTTCTTACCATCATGGCATTCATTCTTTCAGCCCAAATACTCTTTCTGCCAACCTTAATTTTACTTACAGAAGAAATACTGAGTTGTGAATGAACAACAAATGATGTGTGATCAAATGCGTGAAACAGTGGAAAACCTGGGCTTCAAAACCAGGCCAGCTATGATTTTTGGTCTAGAGATAAACTTTAAATCATTCTTCTAAAGCAGGGGTTGGCATTTTTTTGCACCCATAGGCCAGAGCTTGTGATTCATCCCCTGACTGAGGGATATAAATCCCTCCCCCGACAGCTCAAGCCACCTGTGCTTACTCTCACTGCAGATACTTGGACCCTCTGTGAGAGTAAGCACAGACACAAGAAAGCAGCAGGAAGGACTGGGTATGGCTCACAAGCTGCAGGTTGCCAACCCCTGTCTTAGGGGATAATGTATTCTAGGCTACCTCTTAGTAAGTCCTTAACAACAAATTAATATTTTCAGATTTCCCTTTAATTCTTCCAAATCCCTTAAAAAAAACAAAAAACCCAAACAACCCAAGCTGACAAACTGCTCAGAGAGATGCAGAAAAGTTCTTTTCCCTTTACAATTATTTGGTTTTTAATAAGAAAAAAAAATTACCTTGCAGTCCATTCTAAGTATGTGCTGTGCAATAATCTTTGGATCATTGTTGGTGAATAGCTCTTTGACTCTCTTTAGCATTGATGTTTCAAGTGGCTTGTTTTCCAGAGGAAGGAGCTTGGATTCAAAATCATTTGGTTTAAAACTAGAGACAGTCTCAAGAACAGGTGCTACATACATGCTGCCCTCCTCAGCCATTACACTCTGTGCTGCTAATGGATCCATAGACCTCTGTGATGCATCCTGCTCCAGGGTCAGGTAACTGGTCTCAGAGTTCCTGGACGAAAGGGCTCCATTCTCTTTAGCTGTCAGATGCTCCACGTAGCTGCTCTTCTGACATGAAGGCTGTTTTGCTGGTCCACAATCCATGGGAGTGGCAGGGTTTAGCTCACAGTAGTGTGCCTCTGAACTGTGCCAAGCTAAAGGAGACTGTGGTGGCTTCAGCAAGGGCACTTTGCTGGGTTTAGGTGGAGGCTTGGGACAGAGCTGACTGTCTGAGCCTCTAAGTGCTTCTCCTGATTGAGAGTCTGAGGCAACTCTCTGGACAACTGTGGGGCTCAGAGTAGGTTCACTGCCTGTTCTGAATGGGGAAATAGGGGAATTTGGACATGAACCTGTACCTGTTTCAGGTACCTGAGATGGATGCCTTGAACCTGCAGATGAAAAACAGAAACAGAACTTTCTTTTAATGACAATAAAGCAATCCAAGGCAAAATACATACAATTCCTGAGGTAGATCTGCTTTGCTGTTACTTACTGGACAACATGTTTCAGATCATGTCAGTTCTTCATTCTGTGCCACCAACATGTATTTTTAGGGATGTGCTAGGCAGCAAATTCTACTTATTTGCAGATCCTCCCAAAATCCCAAACACACAGAACAGCTGCACTATAATCTCAGTCTGTGGTAACTCTGACAATAACCCAGCTCCCCACAGCATACATGGACCATACAGTCAGAGCTGGAAAATCTCCATGGCTTGGAATAGGAGTTTGTTTGTAATCTGATCTGCTGTATAAAAATGGAAACTTCTAGCTGCACCACACAAAGACCGTGTGCATCATTTCTAGGAAGACAAGTTAGAGGTGAAAGAACAAGTTCCTCAAAGTGGATTTTGGACACATAGCAAGGTATAAAGAAAAATAGCGTCAGGGATGTTAATCTTGTATATCCAAAAGATAGCTGGAGAAGCATGTGTCTGTACTGTAATATTTCCTATAAACTCATCCTGTAGTTCATACACAAACCTCCCACCGATTTCAAACAGAGGACTCAATGCAGGACTGGATTGAAGTCAGAGGTTCCCAAAGGGTGATCCACAGAACACTTGTCGTCTGCAGAGAGCTAACTGGGCACATCACACTGGCTTTAATTCTTATTTCCAGCTGCTATACTGCATTACAGCCAGCTAGACTGTAAGATCTTCAGAGCAGGAATTGACTCCAGTAATATTTCTGCCAGGCACCTACAACAATGTGGCCTTGCTCCTGACAGAGCTTTTAGGCTTTTGTCACTATCATCATCACCACTTTACAAAGCCACATGAACTACCTACCTAATTTTACATTTCAGGCTACTGCTACTGTAATTTATTTCCTCTAACTAGGATGGTAATGAGCTCAATTATGAACGGAAGGGGAGGCAGTTTGTGCAATCATATTTATGGGTAGAATGGACAGAGCAATGCTCATGAGAATTTTGTTATGATGTGGTTCCCTATGGAGGTGCTGGAGAGCTCCTGTCTTAATAAATCTATTTACAAGGGATGCGGTGGATTTTATATTTTTCCTCCCATGGATTACTGCTCAAGAAAAGTTCAAGACTGACAGTCTTGGAAACCATATCAGTATTTGTGCTTTTGGGGACAGTTCCCTTGGCATGCTGCTCGGGAAAGAAAGGGAAAGCAACTGGCATCTGGGGAAGTGTCCACATGTCTTTTCTCAGTGAGGGCAGAGAAGTGGAACTGATCACATTCTCATACATGTGACACTGCTGTTGCTCAGGAAAGCTATGGAGAAAGGGGATATAGTTGGGGGGGTGGGGACAACTACAGCAGCAGCAGTAAGGTTGTGATATAGGAAGAGAGAGGAGTAAGAACGGGAGATAAACAGAGCAGAGCTTTTGGTCATCACACTTCCTCTCTCCTAATAGTTGGGAGCATACGGAAGAGGGCAAAGGAGTACTGATGCATTAGCTGCAGATGAGTATAGTTTACTTGGGCAACAGTATGAAGCCTGCTAGGATTTCATCAGCTCCACTCCTGCCACTCAGTAAGCCAGGGCCAGAGCAGTGTCAGTGAAACTGATGACATTCTTGCAAGACCTGGAAGGGTAAGAAGATACTGTCAAGGAGGTGCCAATTAGTGCCAAGCATGATAGTCCTTTTTGGGATATGGAAACTTATTCACTAGTGCCAAGCCACCATGCTGACAGGTGCCCTTGTAAATACAGCCTGGTTCTAGTAGTCGTAATAGCAGATGAAATGAAACTATCAACAATTTATATGAATCACCAAAGAGCTACCAAATAGAAACTGGATCACAGGACTCCTACACTCACCCCTCTCTTCCACGAGACTGAATTTTCACCTTCTGGAACTTTAATCTATAGCATCTGGCAAAGGAACCGACAACCTGAAAAAAAATGCGTCTTCTGTGTAGTTATTAGAAACTTCACTACAAACATACCAATTGGCAGGTAGCTTTCTGACTGGTGAGTCTTCAGTGGGAATCTTTTCTCCTGGACATGGTCCAAACTCGCTGGCTGGCTACCACTTTTTTCTTTGTTTCTAGGATGGGAAAAAAACCCCCCAACACAGCCATATTGTTAAAGTGTAGCACAATTCTTACCATTTGCAACAGGGCCAAAAACTGGGGGGAGGGGAAGGGGAGCAATCTTTCTTTTCCCTTTAAGGGCAGCTTAAAAGCTTAAAGTCTTCTTTATGTTGCAGTAGCACAAAGGGGTTTTAGCACGGGTGAGGCTCTTGCCTACAGTGTTCAGTGTTGAGAGAAATCTCTCTGCACAGAATTTTTTCTGGTAGCTATACACAGGGCAAGGCCCATTCTTTACCTCACCAAGGCTCTGATCCATCTCCTGCATACTGAAAGACCGTAGTCAATCATAAGCATAGTCTCTATTAGGAAGTCTCAACTCTCAGACTGAGGGCCCATTCTCTAGCAAGACAGGTCTCACTACTCTGCTCTTCCATTTCTCTTATAGTTCAATCACTAGGCAGTGAATATGCATGCTTTCATTTTATATTTTCCTACATACATACACAAAGAAAATATTCCCTGATACTCCCAGGAAAATCATGTGAAAAATAAAGTTATTTAAAGGCTCTGTGCAAATGGTTTACTCAGTTCACATGAAGTTTTCAAAACAGAATTAAAAGCATCTACAAACTTCATTGCGAGGAATGATTTGCAATTTCTTAATTATACTTATTATGTTGTTTTTTTTATTTGAGTGTTTTGACTTTTCCATGCAATGCCTGGACAGGGTGGTAAGGAGGAATCCAGAGTCAGCTGTGTTACTGAACCTTTGCTTATTCCATCTCACTTTGTCTCATTGCTGGCATTTCCATCACAGCAGTTGAATAAGGAAAAGAGCTTGGCTTAGGAGCAACAGCAAAGTTTTACTTTGCTCCTTCAATGTATTCAATCTATTTTCGTTTTTTGTTCCAACACTGCGCTGTGCTAGCAAGGTCTGATTCTGAGATCACTGACTTCTCAGGAGTTCTTTCCGACTTACATCAGTATGAGAGAGAAGAGAATCAGAACTGCAGAGCCCAATGGGGAAGTGAATCATACCTGAATCATATTTTTCCAAAAAGATTTTCAAAATCTGAATAATTCACTCATATTCATCAACACATCAGCATATTAATTAAGGCTCAACTTAATTAATGTCAGAGTATTTGAGTGCAGTGTACAAATGCAATGTACAAATGCAGACAGCTACACTAAAATGCATTAGTTACTGCTTGTGTAAGGCCTGATCCAAATCCCACTGGAATTAACAGGAATCTCTTTGATACTTCAGTGTATTTGGATTAGGCCTTTAAAAATGACTTACTATGAAACTGTGTTGCCTTGGATTAGGCCTTTAAAAATGACTTACTATGAACTGGTCCCTTCTCCACTAACACTGAGTACAAAACTCCCACTGACATCTGTGGAAGCAAGACAGCCCCTCCCTTGATTTCTCTTATAGGGTAGTGGTAGAAGGAAACAAAAAGTACCTTAAAAGATTTCCTCTGGTTAAGCTATGCTCCCGGGATTGCACACCGCACACATTGAGGCTCAGTCTTTTTGCAGTCTCTGATTTTCCTTCTGAGATGCTGCATTCTCTTTGTCGGACTGGAGATACTCCATACTGCTCCTCTAGACACCTCAGTGGCACAGTCCGGTTAATAGGCTGAAAAATAATTGCTCCACTCTGCTTTGATATTGGTTTGCGGTTCCCCACGTGATACCTAACTAACCCAGGGATGCTGTCAAAACTTTCAAGTTCAAACTGATATTGAACACGGCAGTAGGCTTCACTGAGTCTCACGACTGTCCTGTTGATTTTGAAATGCTGAGAAATGTTTTTCCACTGACAGGTGAGAACAAAGTTGCCAGGACTGGAGAGAGAGTCCCGAATCAAGAAGTCACCATCTCTCTGAACTAGACTTTCTGCCACCTTACAGAAAGAAAAGAAAAAGAACATACTCAAAATCACCCTTGACCAGCAGTCTCATCAACAAGATCCCTTTACCCAAAGGGGTTGGCAACCTGTGGCCTGTGGGTCAAATCCTACGCAGGAAGAGACTGAATCCAGCCTGGGAAGGTCCAACCTGACCAGGCAGCTGCAGCAAGGTCCAACTTGGCCAAGCAGCCCATTTCCTTCTCACTGCTCCCTCGTGCCTGTGCTTACTCTCGCTGCAAAGAAGTCAGTTATTTGTGGGGCAGAAAGTGGGGCAAAATGTTGCCCTCCCCAGTTCTATCTCCTTCAAAATTTCAGGGGCATAATCCTTCACAGCAGGTCTCTGCAAGGAGATTCTAGGACAGGGTTTATGGGCCTAACAGAGCATCCATAATGTTTGTAGGCATCCACCTTTCAGCTTGTCAAAGGAAACGGATCTGCGAAGGGGAATGACATCACCCAGAACACTGCTGGCAGGAAATAATATAGCTTTTCCATCATATATATGCACCAGCTTGGAGGTTATTACTGCAAGTGGCCAGAATTCACCATTTAGTTATCACAAGTTATTTAAAGTGATACAATCAGCTGCTTTATAAAATAGGTTTGGGTTCATTTTTTAAAAATTCGGTATCTATTTGGGAGCTCAAATGGCCCTGTTTCTTTATGAACTGAGCTGGGCATACCCATTTGGAAAGGATTAATTCATCTTAAACCACAAAACTGGCTACTCCACCTGCCTTTCACCACTCATGCTGCTACCAGCAGGAAGCGTCACAATTCCAATTGTATCTGCTAGATGCATTCCCATTGTGAGCCAGCAGGGGGAAATCATGATGTTTTTGTGCGGAAGAGCCAAAATAATGACTGCTTTATAAACCAACAAATATTCTACTTTGATAGGGCCCAAAATAAAACTACCCTGTTTAATTCCCAACTTGGGAAAAGTTTAAAAGGAACATTTTTCCATGTTGCTTAATCACACTGAGCCAAAACAAAGTTGCTATCAGAACACAGGGGACAGAATATTGCCTTTGTCCACATCACAGAGCTGTCCTTGTAACTTGTTTGTTTGTGAAGGTATATGAATTAACAGCTCTGTGACCTGACTATTGCTTTCCTCACTCCTGTTTCACACCAAGGCATGTTAAGTAAATACCGTATCAGACATTGCTTAGTTCACGCACTGAAAGACATTCAGTTTCTCTTGAACTAATGATCTCACAGAGACTCTATATGTAATATTCCCATGTTAGTCTGTCTGTCTGTCTGTACATGAAAACCAACAGGCCTGTCTATGAGGGAATCCCCAGGGAGAACGTACCTGCCGAGGAATGCGCCCGTGGTACCAGGCATGGCTTCGCAAGTCTTCACTGCTTAACTGCAGCTCTTCTTCTAGCTCTTTCTTCAGCTTTTCCGGGGTGCTGTCCATAATCTGCCTCTCCCTAGAGAACTACAATAAAGATATAAAAGAAAAGGTCAACAGTGCCAAGCTTAGTGATAAGCATTATATCTCAGTCAAATTTTCATCCCATGTGTCCCCCACTGCACCAGCCATTGGAAACTGGGCTCTACATTTAGCCAGCTGGCTTGGCTTTGATCTCTAAGCAATATTTGCAAAGGCTGTGTCAGAGGAAAGGTGTGTAATGATTACACTTTGCATACAGTGCATCATAAATATCCCATCTGTGCACCAAGATAATGCAACTGCTGAGTCACTTGGCCACTGCATCTTCTCCATACGAATCCCATGTGTGGCAAGCAGAGTACAATCGGGTTGCCCCATCCCTAGTAAGAATATTCTGAACATAGCAGGACTTATACCAACTGGATGGGGGTACTGATTCGGTAGCTCTGCTGCATGTGAAATGTGTATCTTGTTAAAGGTCTTTCCCTCCTTAAAAAACCTTCATTACAAGAGGAAATTCAGACTAACTGAATTCAATGTTTTCTGGTGATTCTCCTCTTCCTTTACTGAAAACAAGCAAAATCTCTGTGCACCTCCATGACTCACAGGGGAATCCTAGAACCCCATAATACATATGGGATCTACTGAGGAATCCACTTGTATTGAGTAGTGAGCATATTGATCCTCATAGCCCTCTGCTCTCAGAAGAATTTGCCTTTCTTGGACCATTTCTATCAGAGATTCCTTGGTCCTTCTCAGGAGTGAGACTTTGGTGATTCACTAAAGGCACCTATACATGTGCAGCAAGGCGGCTCCAACGTTCTGTAATTACAGTTCATCAAAGCAGACTTGATTAATTGCTGAAGCATGGTAATTACTGCGCTCCAGCAGACTCCAGCTTCACATGTATCAGCATCCCTGCACTGAAAAATGGTGGTGGAGGCACTTTAACTAAAGCTTGTTCAATGAGCTTTAGTTAAAGTGCCCTGCCATCATTTTTCAGCATGGGGACACTGGTACACATGACACTCCGGAAGCTTTAATTAGAGTGGCTCTTGCAGCTGCTCTTATTAAAGGTCCTCCTCTCCCCCACTCCCAGAGCACATGTATAAACACCCTAAAGGTCTGGTCCTCCTCCAGAGAAGCATAAACAATACTGCTGTACAATTTTTCAAACCATTCAATGAAGAGAAATTCTTTGGACAATTAAACAGTCTCCCAGAGTCCTGTGATTCAAACTCTGCATTTAATGGTGCTGAAACGCTCACAGAAACTTTTCAGTTTCCAAAGTGGATTGGCTATTTGTGTCAGTCAAAGTGTTGCTGCATTAATCATGGAGATATGTGTACAGATGATGTTACTTCTAAACAAAAAGAGTGAGTGACACAGAACGCAGGTCAACCACAGCTTTTTTTTTTATTGGCCATATAGTTTGTAGTTATCTGATTAGGATCCAAAGCTTCCAGACTGATCTTTCTAGCTGCACTGATGCGGATGCTTCAATTCATGCAAGTGTTTAAAGAGAGTGGACTACACTGCTGTGCACCCACTGTTCACAGACTTTCTATGAACACTCCATTCTACAGAGTTTTCTTCTTCAAAGACATCCCCACAGCCTATACCTGCAAGAGTGCTCCCTTCAACAGTACTCTGGGCAGTCCAGACTACTCCAGTTAAAGCAGATTGCTAGAAAGCATAGTGTTGATGGAACAATGCCAGAAGAAATGGGTGTTCTGCTTGCCAAGACCATCTGAACATGCTAAAAGTTCAGATGAATTATAAGATTAATTTTCTTCTTGCCTCTTCCTTTGGAACAGTGATGCCTTATTAGACAATAACAGTTTGGTGTGTTACTTTGTACAGCAATGTGGAGATTACAACGAGCCTCAGTTTTGTTTCTCTAGAATCTAGGCCATGTTATCGTGCTGTTTGCACATGTACATACAGGTTAACATAGATAATTATGTTGTGCAACAAAGAGAAAACCCTGCCCTTCATCCTGCAGCCAGGATACGGTTCTGCTTCTGAAGGGATTAGGCAGGGTCTCTGGCTTGTTCAGGGCATGTAGCCTCTACAGGGCAAGAAGACTAGCTTCCTGCATGGCAAGATACAAACAGCATTGATGTCAGAGGCCACCATAACTTGGAAGCAGAAGTGCCATGGTAATGCCCCCTGCTGCTTAAGGGCAGAAGCCTTCTCAATCAGCTCCAAAGTTGCTTTGCAGCCTGTGGACGGTGGGGATTCCTTGGCTTCTCATTCCCCACAAAGTCTCTTCTCAGTGAAGCTATTACTATATAAGATAAGGGCTGTCTAACTTTTAAGCAGACAGGAGCCACATGCTCCCTGGGCTGCACCAGTGAGGGCCTCATAGTATGGACTAGTGTAAGCCACAGGCCCCTCAGGCCACAAACTGTGGGCACTCAAGCCTCACTCTTAGTTCCCTGGCTGCACTGTGCAGGGGCCCCAGGATACAGTCAGCACTGTGCCCACGCTGCATTATCCCTGGGGTGGGAGCAGGAAATGGAAAGGAGGGGGAGCCTGGCACCCCCAGTTGCTGCTGCAGCAAAGGGGGGAGAAGCAGCTGGGTGCGAGCCTGGCAGCCACAAATTAACACTTTGGGGGTCACATGTGCCCCCCTCCCAACCTGCTATCTGGGCAGCCCTGTAATGGAAAACAATTTGGCAAAATACCCCAGCATCCATAAGGACACATAGAACTAGAGGTATTTACAGTTATTAAGCGTAATAATGCCAGAAACAGACACAGCCTCTGCACAGGAGTGAATTTCATCCACATGAATAATGCTGAAAAATAACTTTCATCTTTAAAGATGAATAATTTACTACAGCTGTTTCATCAGGATACAGGTATATAACACAACAAAGGAACTGAGCATTCCCTCTAGCGGGCAGCCGGATTGCTCATTAGCTCTGGAGAGAAAGTAATGAGCAGGGATCCTGGTTTTCCCTGATAAAAAATTGCAAATTGTCTGATAAAACCCTCCAAATCTGTGATTAAAATAAAAGGACCCTCCACAGCCTCCCCAGCCCTGCTGGTGCCCCTCACTCCCTCCACAGCCCCCTGCCCCACATCCCCCTGGAACTCTGCCAGCCTGCAGAGGGCTTGTCAAAAAACTGCAAAATCTGCAGGCTTCTCCAGTAAAATGAGAAATCTGTGTTTGCCTCCAGTAAAAGGTAAAATCCATGGATTACTCCATTTTTCTGTGGGAAACAGGATCCCTGGTAATGAGACACATCTTGTACTCATCAAGTTCCTTCCAGCAACCTTATTAGAAAAACATTTCGGGAATCCAACCCAGCTAAATTGTTAACATGCACGATTACCTAAATTTTAAAAATCCATTCCACCAGCATTAACCATGCACGTGACAGCTATTACTCTGCAGAGGTCAGATTGGAAGCCAACGTGTCAGTAACTGCCTGCCGTTCTGTATCTAGTGGGGAACTCCAGTAGCTGGCATGGTTTCCAAGGTATTCCCAGAAACATTTCCTAGGGATGCAGACCTACTAACTGTAAATGAAACTGCCTAACCAGCATTCTGTTGGCTCAAACTACTAAACTGTGCCTAATTGTATATCCAATGAATAGTGAGAGAAGGAGACTGTGAAAGATAAAGTTTGTTCATAATTACAGTGGCCAATGTAGTTCTGTTATCAACTCTAAAACCCAAGGGCTCGTGCCCTGCAAAAACGTACATATTTGCTTAACTTTATACCCTTCAGGTAATCCCGTCACAGTAATCTGGGGCTCATCTATATACTAAGGTAAAGTGAGAGTTTGCTAGTTACTCAGCGCTAACTCCTTATGCAGAAATTCCTAGTACAAAATAAGTGTGAGGTATCTTACACCCATATTCAAGTGTCACATGAAGGCACTCAGAGTCTGAGCATTAGAAGCATCTGAAAAGGGAGTGAGTGCACAAATTCACATTGGAACTTGCTGTGCACTTACATCCCTGTGTAGACATCCCCACCTAGAGCAGCAGAATTTGTCCTCTTTGTATGTCTTGTACAGAGACAAGAACTTTGTTGCCACTTGATGCCATGTTAGACATTTTGGGTGCCTATACACATACAGAGAGGCAGCTCTAACACACTGTAACTATAAAGTGTTGGAGCAGACTCAATTAATCGAGTTTGGTGGAACATGGTAATTACTGTGCTCCATCAAGCAGACTCCAGAGTCATGTATATCACATGCAACTAAAGTTCAACAAGCTTTAGTTAAATCACCCCACCACTATTTTTCAACTTGGGGATGCTGGTACGCATGATGCTCCGGGGTGCTTTACATACAGTGGCTCTTGAAGCTGCTCTAATTAAAATGCCCTCCCCCCTCCCCAAACACACACACCTCCTGGAGCATGTCTATAAATGCCCGTAAGTAAAAGGTGTGATAGGATCTGATGTGCAAACCACACAATCATGCCTCCTGCAAATACATGCATGGCAGGAGGCATGATTGTAGGATCCAGCATCAGATCCAATCACACCTTACTGCTGGTGAAGGGGGAGCCCTGGATTGCATCATGGGCTCCCACTGCACTGGCGAATAGCAAGCTTCCGCGGCTGTGAGTCCTGCAGCTAATGAGACTCGCAGCTGTGGGACACTGCCTCCCAGCAGCAGTAGCATATGGTGCACCCCTGAGGCTCAGAGCACGCCTCCTAGCAGCAGCATATGGTGCACCCCTGTGGCTCAGAGCCCCAACCATCAACTGACATGGCTCCCAGTCACAAGGGCATAGCTTCCTCACTTCACATGCAAATTAAAGCTGGATAGAAACCAGCTATAAAGTCATTACAGATTTTCCAGCTCTAACTTCATAGCTGTATGGACCTTTTCATGTCATGATAGTTACTTTGCACATGTAGCTGGTCTAAATTAATCATACAGTTAACCCCAAGCAATTAATAGTAATTGACAATAAGGAAACGGAAAACAGTATTACTTTAGTTCTGTATTTGCAGGGAGATGGAGTAATGGGTGGTTAAGTCTTTTTTCTACATCCAGCTTTTATGGTCTTC